CAGTTCTTCCCGTTGCGGAGCTTGAGCGGGTCCACTCGGCGAATGAGTAGCTCCGGCAATTATACCACTATTCGGATCCCAAATATGAGGATTGGATGAACCCTTAGTAGTTGCTGCTTTCCACCTCTGCAATTGTTTTTCTTTATCAAGCCAAGGGGCTTCATATTCTTCGGCGCCCCCTGGTAAAACAAGTAACGATTTATTTAGTAGACCACGAGTAGAGACCATCCCGAAAGTCTCCTCAAGTCTAGCATCCGTAAGATCGGAACTAAATAGATCATCCTCCCAGGGATCTTCAGGGCTATCAGGACTTGCCAAACTCAGAAATCTTTTAGCAGAGATGGCGGTGTTATGGAATCCCATCTTCTCAAGCTTCCAGAGGGGTAAGATAGTATCCCTGCCCTCCACTGTGCCTTCGTTTTTCGCCACGGCAACAAGGTCATCGTAGATTCTCTTTAGTTCCTCCGGTGATCCTTGCTCATTTCCTGATTTCAGTGCGTTGAGGATCACCTCTCTGTCGGAAACAGGGGCTTGCATTATAGCACCGTCCACAGCAGGTCGCGGCTTTGAAGCTTGGGGACCTGGATTACGGGAATAGAGATAATGAAGCACATCTTGGCTTCCAGTGGAATGACCCATAATCACAATTTTGCCCGGGCCATGCGCCGTAGCTTGATCGGACTTTTTGGAGGATTTGTATGCTTTCACATAGTCGACACATTTACCTATCTCCTCGACGTCATTGTCTAGACTACCCATCCCCCATCCGCCGTATGATGAGGAAAGAAGCACCGAAAACACAGACCAGCTTCCAGATTGAAGACCTGCGGAGATATCACTGAGGTACGGTACCGTGAAGAATCCGTCACCTAAGCCGCCAATAAATAGCAGGCTGTGGGGTTTGTGGTCTCCGGCGTCTAGCCTGGGCACATATTCAAAAGCTGTGAGTCCTGGGGTCTGGCAGTGTTCTCTAATCAGTTCAATTACTATGAGATATAAGAGATGGCTACCTCTGGGGGTGGATTTCATACATAATTGTGCAGGATGCCTGGCTGCAGACCTGCTTCGAATTCGTTCGCCATTTCGGAAAAAAGTGTGCAAAGCTTTGCAGACAATCGTAGTGCAATAATTAAAATAACGTTTATAATTATCTCATGTTTAATACGATACTGTGTCCATTTTAAAAATAGTCACGTCTTGTTAGAAATTGAATTGGGGTAGATCGAATATTTAATTAAGCGTTGGTGGAAGAGGATGGGACGAGGGGCTGAGTGTTTGCTGGTGACCATCTTGGTTGAGGTTTGGGTGAAACCTTCGACACTAACTAACCTGCATCATCTCCTATTTATCGCGAACCTTATAAAGAACATCCAACGCCACTCGTTTGAAGTCTTCCACTGGTCATCAACAGATCAAACGATGTGCTCCTGTCTAGAAGATATGTGCTGCCCTTAATGATAACCTGGAAACTTCAAGTTATTGGTGGTTGAGGAGTCCCTCTCGTCTGCTCCTCACATATTTATATTGGATGTGTATTGAATTTGACTACATAACACAACTAACTGTTTCGGTATATTATGGCTTCGTCGCCAACCAGAAGATCTAGGCGCCGCCGCACTGCGGCTCCTAGATATGTGACGGATGTTTCTGAAGTGGCCGGGCTTGAGATTGAATCATCCCAAGGTGAGCGGTTTAGTGACGAAGAGGATGAAGCATCTGAGCCATTTGAAGATACACGACGGGATAAGCGTCGAAAGGATGACGATGAAGAATACGAAGAAAATGGTGATAATCATGTCGAAGGTAAAGTATGTCCTATAATGGATTCGTATGGGAAATTTTTTATTCACTTGTTGAACAGGCTTGGCCGAAGAAGATGACTTAATCTCTGCTTTAGACTCTGATATTAAGGAGTATAAGGCGCCAAAGGCTCGCTCCATACCTATTGGGCGTGTTGATGAGCAGGATGCTTTGGCTACCCATTCAAGAGGGCTCTACAAGTCGTCAGCACATGGTGCTAAAGTCACGTACTTGAAATTAACGTTCGGGGCTAGCGATGAAGACCTGCTGCCCATGGTGTACGCCAGGGTTCGGTGGACTAAAGGACGAGATGTGACATTTCCCAGCAGGGAGACCTTACGAGGGGCGTTCAGCATGTCTACTGATGAAATTGGAGCTGCCTTTGGCGTGAATGGAGACTTGTTTCGTAAGGAGGCGACCACTGGGTGGGATTGGTATTATGATGAAAATACCGGTGGTCGGTTTAAAAAAAGACAGCGAACAGGGACCCTCACGGCAGAGGAGGGTAAAAAATATTTGCCTAGAGCAAACGCGAAGAAACACACTGTGCTAATGGGGCCTGCATCATCCCAGAAAGTTTTTGAAGTGGGTGTGGGCGAATCGCTTGACTTTGGAGAGGCATGGAACGAAATCAGGCCGAAGGGCAAGAGGGCAGGACTCTCGAAAAAAGGGGATAGACAATCTCCTGAAATGCCGGATATTCAAGGGCCTTCACCACTCGAAGCGGAACAGATGTCACGGATAGAAAATGTTTCTAAGCGTCGGCCGCGGAGAAACCGTGAAGGATGGATTCTCAACTTAGGGAACAAGATTCAGTGTCTATCATGGGCTCCAAACTGTTCAGGTACTTCGCAATATCTTGCGATAGCTGTTCCAATATCAGATTTACAAAAGCAATTGATAGATGGAACTTCTTCACAAGGGGCCCCGGCGTTTACACCGTCTGCGCCATATCCGTCTGCTATACAAATATGGTCGTTTGAATCTACAAAGGAAGAAGATGATGTTCGTCAACTTGACATGACGGTTAAGCCGCGTCTACGACAAGTAATATGTACTGATAATGGTGATGTGAGGCGCTTATCCTGGTGTTCAATGGGTCGTGAAAAAAGAGAGGAAGACGAAACTGATGAAAAGGTTAATATTGGACTTTTGGCAGGGATCTGGGGGGATGGAACCGTTAAGGTTTTAGATGTCCAGCTGAACAAGGCTGCCAGCGAGGCAGAATATGGTTCGTTAAAACTGTTGTTTTAATCGAAATAATCAAAAGCTAAACTCTTTTACCACAGTCCACGTCCACGTTCCAGCTTTTGTGTCCAAACCACCATCAACGCTTTGTACCTGTTTCTGCTGGCTTTCCCCAAGTGACCTCGCGGTTGGAACAGCAAATGGCTTTGTCGGAGTGTGGAGCTTGTCATCTCCATCCAATGTCAACGAACCAGAGGCAACTCCTTTACCGTATATGTACATTCCAGTTCATAGTTCCTACATACTCAACATCACCTCGTCATACCCAACATATCCGCATATGATTGTTACGACTGGCATGGACGGTAAAACCAAACTATTTTCCCTCCTGGATCCCAGAGCCGACGTTACAGAGGCTTCGCGTTCACGGCTGGGCTCGTATGAAGTATCCTATTCACCGTTGTTACGAACGTACATATGTTCTGATGACACGGAATTTGTTCGTATTCAGCCACTCCGACGGTTCTTCTCCACATCCTCTATATTGCAAACCTACGACTTGGTATCCGCAATTGCCTCGGGGAATCTATGCCATCCATCCTTTCTGGCCGGCAATGTCAGCGGCACTGTTTCGGTCACAAATCCTCTTCGTAGGCTGATGAATCCAAAGGAAAAGCACTGGCAACAGACATGGTTTACCCATGAATGGGTCCCCGACAAAACTGTGGAAAGCGGCGCTGAACAGAAAGGCGCTTTGGTTGGGCCCGGGGTTAGCAAATTCTACGACGGGTTTAAAGCGGAGATACCGGGGTTGATCAGAAAGCTGACAGGAGATAGGAGGATTGTCAATGGAAACCTTCCGATGTCGATTTTTGAAGAAGGGACCGCGATTACGGGACTTGCTTGGAACCCGAATAATGAGTGTGCGGGTTGGGCATGTGCTGGGATGGGTTGTGGGCTACTCCGGGTCGAGGATGTAACTCTCCAATAGAATTCTTCTGCCCGCTTTGGAAGAGATATTGAAGATGTTTATTCTGTCGCCTAATACACCTACATAATTTCAATTCCCTGCCAAATACGAAGTAGCTGCTCTGCATGAATGTCAGTACTTTTTACAAATAACGGAACAAGTAATCAGAGAAGGTTGTTCAGCCGGTCCCATAGCTCCTAACAGCACAGAACCGCTATAATATCAGATAAGGTCAACTATGGAGCGATATCACAGCTTTTCTCGAGTGTTCCATTCCTTTCCTGAGTATGTACGTCATCCTGTAGTCTGATGGACCGAAGATCGAGTACGGCTTCTACGCTAAATGGTATAGTTAATTAAGGATGTTGGTCGTTCGACTCCTCTTAAGTCGCGTTCAGCCGCGTTAGACGCGAGTTTTCTTGGCTTGTTCTTGGTGTCTTGGCACAACCACATCTTGGCAACCATTGCCCCTGATTAGGTAAACATCTCACATTCCATTTGGACATTGCTTTTATTCTCTCCTCTGTCGCAACAACAGTATACTCTATTCCCACGGTTTCATGAAACATTTCTTCGGCTAAAATTCTAACCGGAATTAGGGTTGTTGATTTTACTTTTATTAATGTGGGAATGCTCATCTTTATTAACCGTGACAGTTTGTATTCTCTCAGACAATTATAAGCAAAATTGGGGGGGCTGGGAATTCCCAACCACCCATCTCCATACAAGATGACCAGGAGTGGATCTTGCGACCCAACCTCTGCAATTTGGCAATGGTCCATAATAATACTAATTTTTATTTTGTTTTTCTTTTCTTTTCTTTTCTTTTCTTTTTTATGACGCGTGTATTCTCTCTACTCTTCTCTGCGATCTCGATCTTCACTTATTTAGCTCACTTCCACCCGTATCAGTTCTCTTCTGTTGACAACATTGCAATTGAATCTAGGGCATTTCATCATTTAATTCAGCAGATTCTTCAGTGCCTTCAAGGTTGGCTACAGTGCCATTTGCCATGAGGCTGTACATATTAACAACTTTATTCATGGCGATGTTGTCTACGTTGTCGACTTCTCTCCCACTGTCTCCCAAACCACAGCGGGAGATCGCCCGAAGAGCTCGATACTCAGTCGTCCCCGTTAATGGAAACCCAAAACCTACAACGACAACAGAACCAGCAAACCCGGTCACGACGTCCGTTGGAACTACGGAAACTGTCTTTTCCACAATCACTGTAACTGTGTCCCCTTCCCTTTCGCCCACACCCAGTATGAGCTTGTCAAGCGAAACACCCTACCTAGCGATTCCTACCATCACTGCGTCACCTCTACAACTTGTGTCCCAATCCCCCACACCCACCGTCAGCTCATCAAGCGACACACCTTACTATGCGGCTCCTACCATCACCACATTACATCTGTCAACGTCCTCCGCATGTTCATCCCCAATTTCGACCAACGTTTTTAATGCGTCCTTGTCTTCATCCCCACCTCCGCCATACCCTTACCACAAGCCAGGGCCAACGGCTGGGCTGGCCTTGCACTCATCGCAAACCGCGGTCCCAATTTCCTACCCCACGGCATCGCTAATGCCATTGCCGGTACACATCTCGAAGAACGGAACGTATCACCAGCCGACTGCAAACCCTAGGTTTCTCAGGTGAAATTCGAAAATGAATTGAAATGTATTACGATCTATTTTAACGACGGACGAAATTTCGACTACGTGGCTAAGCGCGAGATACCCAGCCTGGACCGAAGTGTTTAATTTCCACGTTTTACCGAGTCTTTTCCTCTCAATTTTTTTTTTTTTCCTTTCTCTTATTTGCTCCCTATGCTTTCTCTATATGAGTGACTAAGGAAGAGACGGGCATTTATAGGCGCATGAGACTTTTCGGGCTCCATAGAAACCGAAAAGTTAATCACGGGAGGCATTGTGAGCGTGTTATAGAATATATGGCTTATACGATTGGAATGTACGCATTTATGTAAAGAGATGGAGTTGAAGTATTATGTGTTTGCTCCATTCCATGTCTTTCATTTTAATGAAACGAATGTAATCAGATGAATTTATAGATAATGATATTAAGAAAAGCTTCTTCACAGAATTAAAATGCGTACTAAAATATTTAAAACAACTTACTGAACAAGTCTACAAGCCCTTGTCACTAATCTATGTCCCAGTAATCTCAGGGCACCACAGCTAGCCATTGAGGGCTTCTGCGGAACTCACACATTGTTGTGCTCTTCCTGTCTGAGGACTTCAGGAGAAACCTCGTCCACTGGGTTAGCATACAGTCCATACATCGATTGGCTACGGACGGAACCGCTATATATAACGACAGGAGACTGGGTGAGCTCGGTTGGAGCCAAAGAGGCCCTGGACCAACCCGGTAATGAGATATCCTATCTCACGCTTTTCATAGGATTTTCATGTATCCTGCTGGGTATTAGATAGCTAATGCGGCATCGTTGCATCGAACTGCTGGGACTCCGCATCTGACCAGAGTAGGCAGCTATGATTAGAGCCTTTTTATCTAAATAGCTAAAATGACAACTAGAGGAGCATTATGCGGCATAGCCTCTCAACGCCATGTGCAACAGCAATTGAAGAAATATGTAATTCTGATGGGCTTTGAATGACCCTGAAGGGTGGTTAATGTATGAGGTTCCAACTGGCGCTGGGTTGGGTCTCTTTCCGGAATAACAAACATCCATAAACTCAACCAGAGCCAGAGCCAGAGCCAACGCCAACCAACCCCAGACACCACGAATTCCCATCCAACTCCGCCAGACAAGACAACAACAAGCACAATATCATCAGTCTCCCCGGGAACTCTTTGATGTGAGTGAGCATTGGGTCTGCATTTGCAAGCCCACAGACTCAAGTTTTACTATTGTCGCCTCGTTTACGTTCTCAAGTTTGACTTAAACAACTTCGGACCCATTGGTCCCGCTGCTGCTACCAATGGCCAGCCCGCCTAATATCTCAGAGGAACAAAGCCGCTTGCTCGAAGACGCCCTTGGGGTCGTACGACAGCAGTCGCATATGATGCGAAGATGTCTTGAGACTCCTGGAAAGCTGATGGACGCACTGAAATGCGGGTATGTGGAGGGACGAAGGGACGAAGCATAGCGGAACAGCGCCCGCTTGCTCGATCGGTGTTGACAGTTACCCCAATATGAGAATGTCGCTGCTAACAAATACCCCCCCAATACCAGGTCAACGTTAGTTTCAGAACTCCGTACGCCTAGCCTCGGTCCAAAACAGTACTACGAGCTGTACATGGCTGTTCATGACGCCCTCCGCCACCTTTCCGTCTACCTCAAGGAAAGCCATCCGGTCAATCATCTCGCCGATTTATACGAATTGGTGCAATACGCTGGAAATATTATCCCGCGCCTGTATCTTATGATCACTGTCGGAACTGTGTATATGGGCATTGAGGATGCGCCGGTAAAAGAGATCATGAAGGATATGATGGAAATGAGTAGGGGCGTTCAACATCCCATTCGCGGTTTATTCCTGAGATATTATTTGTCTGGCCAAGCGAAGGACCATCTACCCACTGGCTCTGGAGACGGCCCGCAGGGTAATCTACAGGATTCAATTAGTTTTATACTTACCAATTTTGTCGAGATGAATAAACTCTGGGTTAGGCTGCAACATCAAGGACATTCGAGGGAAAGGGAGCTCAGAATGCAGGAGAGGAAGGAGTTGGAACTACTGGTTGGAAGTAATTTGGTGCGATTGAGCCAGCTGGTGGATTTGGAGACCTATCAATCGGTAATACTTCAGCCTCTTCTGGAGCAAGTCGTCCAATGCCGAGATGTATTGGCGCAAGAGTATTTGCTGGAAGGTAGGTATTGTACTCTTTACCCTTCATTGGAAAAATTGGATGTCTGATTTCAGAAATGACTAGTAATGACTAAGGTCTTCCCTGATGAATACCACCTACATACTCTTGACCTCTTGCTGTCCGCTATATCTAGGCTTAACGCGCATGTTGATATGAAGAAAATTGTCATAGGCCTTATGGACCGATTAGCTTCTTACGCGGCACGAGATACAGACAGCAATGATACACCAGAAGGCAAGCAAAAAGCAGAGGAGGAAGCAACTGTTAGACTACTGGAAAAATTGCGACTGGCCAAGGAAACTGAAGCGAGATCCGATACGGATAGAGTGGATTTTGAAGTAGATACAAAGAACGTAGAGGGAGAGCCCAATAAGGAAGAAGATGCCACAGAAAATGCCGAGCAGGAAGCTGCACCGGTCCCTAATGGCGAAAGCGAAGAGGATTCGAAATCAAAATATTCCACCGATTTCAAACTCTATGAAATATTCTACGAGCAAGTTGTTAACTTGGTAAAAACGAGAAACATCCCGATCCACGACACGATAGCCTTATTGGTATCTTTAGTGAGCCTTGCACTGTAAGTTTCACTTTCCGCTCGCGATTTTGGCGTCAACTAACAAGAGACAGGAGTATTTACCCCGAGCGATTAGGTACGGAGACACTGTTGCCCGCCCAAATCTTGTCGTCCAGATTTTCTTATTAACAAATCTTGTAGAATATGTCGATCAAGTTCTCGAATATGCCACAAAGAAGACAATGGAGCATGCCGATACAGCTGATCTACACTCCGTTCCTGCGCAGTCGAACCTGTTAAACCTTCTCCTTGCGCCAATCCGTTCATATGTTTCAATTTTCACAGCGCTTTCGCTCCCAAACTATATCCCCCTTTTCACTGCTCAATCATACTCCACGCGAAGAGCTGTTGCCGGAGAAATTGCTCGAGGGATTTTAAGAAACAGAACAATAATCTCAACATCAGAACATCTTGAGGGAGTGTTACAGATTTTGAAGGTCCTAATAAAAGAAGGTATGCAGCAGCCGGTGGGCTATCCAGGTATTCAGTCACAACGGCGTGCAGGAGAGACAGAAGAGACAATTGAGGAACAAGGATGGCTTGCACGGATAATCCATTTCATCCAAGGCCCAGACAACGACACCCAGCTTAAGGTGAGTGTCGCAGCTATGCTTAATATGTTCTCCGTGTTAACGATGAAATAGCTCTTGCAAGCGGCCTGCAAGGCATATTCGGAAGGAAACGAACGCATCCGATTCACCACACCTGCTATAATTACGTCTTCACTGAAGCTGGCCCGAAAATATAAATCGCGTGAACATTATGATGACAACTGGCAAGCACAATCCTCAACACTCTACCGATTCATGCACCAGTGCATCAGCAATCTATACCAAAGAGTAAATCCCGGCAGTGCTGAGCTGTCCCTTCCTCTCTTCGTTCTTTGTGGCCAGGTAGCCGACCAGACTGGCTTCGAGGAATTCAGCTATGAATTTTTCGCACAAGCATTTACTATATATGAGGATTCAATAAGTGATTCACGAGCACAGTTCCAAGCCGTATGCATACTTGCGAGCGCACTGCATGGCACAAGAGGATTTGGAAAAGAAAATTACGATACCCTAATTACCAAGGCTGCGCTGCATGGTAGCAAGCTTCTGAAGAAGCCGGATCAGTGCCGCGCCGTGTACCTTGCAAGTCATCTTTGGTGGGCCGTTGACAACCAGCAGAAAGGCGAAGAGGAGACGAAATATGTAAGCACTAATATCTCTAATGCACCACATATCTTTGACATATCCTATCAAATAGTTTATGCATGATAAATTAACCTACTCCATTACTTTCATAGCTATATCGCGATGGCAAGCGGGTCCTCGAATGCCTCCAAAGAGCTCTGCGCGTAGCGGACGCATGTATGGACACAGCTGTGTCTGTAGAGCTTTTTGTCGAAATCCTCAACCGCTATGTATACTACTTTGACCAAGGGAATGAGACTGTAACAACTAGATACCTGAACGGGCTCATTGAACTTATCCAATCGAACCTGCAGACAAGTCAGAACGATGGCGTGCCAAACTCCAGCCTTGATAACCCAAAGCGCCATTTCCAGCGCACGTTGGATTATATCAAGTCCCGCGATTATGAGGGTGTAGTGACCGAGCCAAGGATATAAAATTTTTTATAGAGTCTGGTTGTTTCTGTCTTGTTGCTTCTTCTTTTCGCTTCGCTCTGTTTCCTGTTCGATGTGGCTTTCCTGTACATGAAATAGATGATGAACTACAGATCTGGGACCTAATTCTACTTTTCTCTACTGTTATCTCGTTTTGGTCTGTTTTTATCTTTATCATGGTCTCGTTCTACCCTTGGGTGCATGTCAAAAACAAGTATTGTCTATTTACCATCTCGTATTATTTAGTCAAGGGGAGTTTGTACGCCACCACCCTTTCATTACTAGTTGCTATTTTGTTACTCGTATATCCTTACCTGCCCTCATCACCGACCTACTTAAGTTTATCACCTTAACTCTATGTATTCCAAACCTAAATACCCTATCTATTTTAATGTAGAGAGCGGGATAATTCTTTTTCACAATCGACGAAAATATAACGATACGTTACCCAACACAATGAAACAACATTAGCCTAAGAGCGAATTGTTCTTTTTAAAGGCCTGACGTGGTGGGTTGTATATCGTTCTACGGACGTGAGTTCTGTTATATTATTCTCCACTCACTACTCATCAATCTACCTGTCAACCTTTCAATACTTCAAGAAAATATGCTAAACCCACC